AATGAACTTCGAACACAGCAAATTGCACCAAACGAGTTAAAAGATCCTTTTTCAGAACAGAAAGATGACATTAGAGGCATGATCGTCTCAAATGCATTATTATCAAATTCTAATTCTTCAAATTCAATAACTGGCATCATCATTCTAGTACAAATGCTATTCATTCTGTCTAAGTCTATGCTTTTGTTTGGAAGGAGACCATAAGAATAGCCAGTGTTAACGTATTTTGCTTTCAATTCTGATAATTCTAAAAATAATGCTGAAATACTGATTCGCATTTGTGGCTCATTGTCCCATGCTTAATGAAAAAAAATAGCTTAAAATAAGAGTAAATAATGTATGAATGCTAATTGATAGCACAAATTAATAAATTGTACTTACTTTTCTTAAAAATTCTCGCAAATTCTTTTTGGATTTCTTTATCTTTTGGTTGCTTTCCATTACCTATTGTTAAAGTTTCTCTTTTACCACTGAGGACGTGTTTCTTTATGTCTTCGGGTTTGCGGTTTTCATAAGGTATTTTTTCATAACAAAGCTCCCATAAAAGCATTTCAAAACTATCGATATTTTCATAAAGTATTAATAAATACACATTTATATTAAACTAAAATTTAAAAGAAATATTTTGGACCTAAATAGTTCACATTTATGCGTGTAGCCATGACCTAACATTTTTTCAGGGGCAAGCCAATTATAAATTGATGATATTTTGGGGATTTGAGACATTTCTTCAGCAATACGATGAGCATATTCAAAATTTGTAAGCTTTGGTTCCAAGTTTTTTGTTATCTAATGCCAATTTAAGATTTTAACTGTGTCTAATTATGTGCAAAGGAGGCAATAAAACATCTACATACCATTACATTTTCGCATCTTATATCATAATGAAAAATCGCTACTTTCTGTAAAAATGCAACACCTCAACAAATATCAAGCGCTAAAAGTATTTTATTACACCATGGAATATCTTTCTTTTTATAAACTTCTTTAAGATTTCTCAACTCGGTCCATTCAAAAACCATAATATTTTTGTTATCAATGTAAGAAAGACCATAAAATTTGAGAATATTCGGTCCATTACTTAATTTTTCCAGGATTACTAATTGTGATAGAATTCTTTTAGAGTCTCGTGAATCTTCTTTTGGAAGGGTGACAGGTTTACAGGCAACATCTTCATATTCTCCAAACACTTTTTTAACAATTACACCTCTAATGTCATCTTTCTG